TTTATATAATGTATTTTGATTTTTTTTTTTTAAAAAATGATTATTGTATTTAATAAATTATTACAATTTGCAATCAAAAAAATTTAGAAATTTTAAATTAATAACTATAATTTTATTATATAGCTATATTACTTGCATAGAATTACAATGAAAATAAATAATTATTTTATTTTTTTAAAAATAAATAATTATAGCTAGCTTGCAGAATAATTGAAAGGTGGTTTAGATATGAATGTGAAAAATTTTTTTTTCAATAATAGATGCTATTATTTAACATTCTTTTTTCTTTTATCATATTATTCTTTTATCATAACATCACAAAAAAAAAATATACTTACAATTAGTAGCAGTGTTTGTAGGTGGTTGTGGAATTATTCCTTGAGGATTGGATCCTGGTCCACTCATATTCATCATTTGATTATTTCCAGTTCCTTGACGTGCTAATGTTTGTAATGCTCCAATTGGATCAGGCATTCCTTGATTTCCAGAACAAGCTGTACCTGATGCAGTACCTCCTGTACCTTTTTTAGTATCTATCATAAAAGTATATTACATTATAAATAGTCAATTATTTAAATTTATGATAAAACTAACTATTTTATATAAATTAAAATATTTATATTACTTAATTCTCTGACATGTAGAATTAATCTAGCCACAAAACCTAGATATTCTTCCTGCAAATAAATGAACTTATTATTAGTAAAAATAATAATTTTATTTTTAATATGAAAGATAAATAATATATTTATTCTTCAAAATTCTTATACATATTATATTTATTAGATTTAATAATTAATTTATAATTAATAATTTTAAAACAAACCTTAGTTTTTGCTTTTTGGAAAACATGATTTTCCATTTCAATACTATTTTTTGCAGTAGGCATCCCAGACATTTGTACAGCTTCATCTCTATAAAATATTTTTAATAAATATAAAAATACTTATTTTTTATTTATTTATATATATAAATTTATTCTTCTATTTTTATAAAAACATAAAATATTATAAATAATTTTTAATTTTTTTATAATGTAGATTATTTTAAAATAATATTTTAAAATTTAAAATAATTATGTTAAAATAAAGAAATATTTTACCATTTATAATTTTTTGACATAAATTAACTTACATTTTCGCAATTACACTTTGTCGAAAACTTTGTGTTCTCCAAGAATTTTCATCTGTTGCCATTTTTAATGTTCAATAATTAAATCAACAATCGAAGCAATTACACAACCTTCTTTTATCACGGTAACAGTACGACTAACATATCACTAACTGAAAGCCTGTTTTTATAGTTTGAAACATAAAGGTATTAGTATATAAAGATAAATAGCTTCCTTAATCATGTTTCTATGAAAACGATGATTACTTTATGATATTACATGAGAGATTAAAATCTATTCGATATATTTAAATTAATATTTAAAATAATTATAAAATTACGAATGAAAAAATTAGATATATTAAATAAATTAAGTTAATTAATTTTTTATTTAATAACAAATTTTGAATTTTTTCTCAAAAATAAATGGACTCAATATACAATAATTTTTAAATATTTAGTTAAAACAAAAAGAAGATATTTAAGACTTACCTAATTTCATATCAAAAGTAGAAATTGATTCATGAAAATGCTATGATGTATCGGTATCAGTTTATCATGTCAGTACTTTATATCCTAACCTTAAAATAAATATATAATTTTTAAATAACCTCTAAATTAAGAAATGGCAGAATTAGAATTAACGGAAAAAGAATTAACACAAAGACATAAAAAAGAACGGAAAGAATTACAAGGTAATAAAATTAAACAATTTTGAATTATGAAATATTTTTAATTAATTATTAATAATATGTTCTTCAATGTAAAATTATTTATAATTTAATATTGCGTGTATATAAATTTTTTTATAAAAAATATTTTATTATATTAACTATATAACAATTTTAATTATAATTTTTGTATTTTATATTTTAAATTTTAGCACAAATACAAATACTAAAAAAGTCAATTTGTAAGGGTGATAAGAAAAAGAAAAAAGAGGTAACTGAAGAAATCAATCGCTTAGAAGAAGCTTTAGATAAAAAACAAGAAGAAGAATTAACTATATGGAAAGTCACACATCTTAATATCAATAATGTAGAAAATGAAAATATAGAAAATAGTAATAGTAACGAAAGCACAAAAGATAATAAACAATATGAACAACCAATACAGAGAGTTTCAAAAGCTCAAAAAAGGAGAGATAAAAAAGCAAATGCTGAAAGAGAACGTAATCAAAGAATCATAGAACAAGAAGCATTAAATGTTTTCGGAAAAAGGAATGTAGAATTGCAAACTATTAAAAAAATTCTTTGTGAACGTGGTCTAATGATTTATGAGATTCCAAGTGATGGCCATTGGTAAGTTTACTAACTTATAATTATACAATGTTATTCATATTTTTGATTACTATATTAATTTTTTCAGTTTGTATAATGCTGTTGCACATCAATTAAAAATTATAGGAGAGACACCATTAAATTTTCATGAACTTAGATCAAAAACTGCTATATATTTAAGAGAAAATATGAATGAATTTTTACCATTTATTTCTAATCCAGATTCTGATGATTTTCTCTCACCAGAACAGTATGAAAAATATTGTGATGATGTGGCAGATACAAGTGCATGGGGTGGAGCTATTGAAGTAAGTTAAAATGAAAACAAAATATTTATAATTTTCTGATAAATATCTATATTTAAAAATTATTGTATTAGTTATTAAGTTATTTTTTTTTTAAATAGTTACAAGTCCTTTCACATGTATTAAAATGTCCAATAGAAGTTATTCAGGCATCAGGTGCACCATATGTTATTGGTGATAATTATAATAATGAAAAGAAAATGATATTAACTTATCATCGGCATATGTATGAATTAGGTGCTCATTATAATTCTGTTACAAAATATGTTAAAGAAGAAGAAAGCTGATAAAAATGGACTTTATATTTTGCTAATGTTAACAAGAAGAGAAGTTAAGCATGTTTTGTAACACTTTTTACTATGATAAAATATCATGAACTATTCAAAGCTGCCACAATTTAAATGTCCAGGAAACATATCAATTTTAAATTAATAATTCAACGTTTCTCTGGCAACTTTAACTAATATACATTTAAAAATCTATAATTTTTATTAATAATAAGTTAGATTTAAGATAATAAGAATTAATAAGTCTTCCTTTGTGGTTTTTTTGTAAATGATTATTGCGCTATTATGAAAATTGTATTTATTTATTACTTAAATATTTGACAATATAATGAAGCTGCCAGCAAATTGCAAGTACACATTACTGTTCAGTGCTTGCTTGCTCCAAAGTTTTAATGTAAATATATATTTAAATAAATATGATTTGTTTTTTATAATACAAATTTAATTTATAATTAAAATTAAATATTAAAGCGATATTATTATAGTAGAAATATTAAGATTGTGTGTATGTGTGAATATATGTTAATACTTTTTTCATGTGTTCTCATAGTTTTGTACTATTTTGGTAGTAAGTAATACATACAAAATATGGAATAAAAATAATATTATCATTATTTTTTGGAAGCATACTTTGTTTATTTTTTACTTTGCACACTGCAAAAGAATATAAGATCATAATGTTAAATCTTCACTTTTCCACATGATTTACTTTATCATTTAATGTTTTATCATCTTCAGATATTCCTTGATTTTTATTTGGGTCATCTGGTTTCATTTGTGGGAATAGTAGTACTTCCTAAAAGAATATTATTCTATTATATTATATTCTATTTATATTTTTTTTATAGTCATTTAAAAATTTACCTTAATATTATTTGAATCTGTGAGAAACATAGTAATACGATCAATTCCCATTCCCCAACCAGCAGTTGGTGGTAAACCATATTCTAATGCCGTACAGAAGGTTTCATCAATGACTTGTGCTTCCTCATCTCCAGCTGCTTTATCTTTTGCTTGTTCCTCGAATCTGTATATTTTGATCAGATAAATATATACTGATATTATTAGAAATTTAAAAAATTGTATAATTTATTATTATAATTATTATATATATTTATTATTATAATTTGTTATAATTTATAAGAGATTTTTATTCAAGTAATATTATTACCTTTCTCTTTGTATTATTGGATCATTCAATTCTGTATATGCATTACAAACTTCTTTCTTCATAATAAATAATTCAAATCGTTCTGTTAAACCCTGTTCAGAACGATGCCATTTTGCCAATGGAGACATAATTTGAGGATGATCCAAAATAAATGTAGGATTGATACAAGTTTCTTCTATAAATTCTCCAACAAGCTGTTAACAATTTGTTGAATGATATAAATGTATAACTATATTAATAATATTTTAACATCTATTAAAATATTACTTTATCTAACAATCTAGCTGTTGTTCTTGGTGAAGGACACTCAATCTCATATTTAGTACAAAGATCGCTAAGTATTTGATTTGTTTCAGGATTATTTAATTTGTCTGCTGGAGGTAATTTAATTTTTAAAACTTCTTCTAATGTTTTTATCATTGAAAGTCGTTTAAATGGTGGAGTAAAATCAATTTCTACTGCTTCACCTTCCGGTCCATCTGGATGATATGTTATTTTATAACTACCATGAATAGATTTTATCATTCCTGATACCATATCTTCCGTAATAGACATTAAGTCATTATAATCTGCATAAGCCATATAAAATTCACAAGTTGTGAATTCTGGATTATGTGTTAGATCTATACCTTCATTTCTAAATTGTCTACCAATTTCATATACTCTATCTAATCCTCCTACTACCAACATCTACAAGCAGATAATTAAATATTTTAATTTAATAACATATAAATATAATTATGACTATATAAAAAATATTTTTTACTTTAAGATATAATTCTGGAGCAATGCGCATATATAAATCCATATTTAATTCATTATGGTGTGTAATAAAAGGCTTAGCTGTTGCACCACCCGGAATTATATTCATCATTGGTGTTTCAACTTCTAAAAATCCAAGTTCGTCAAGAAATTTGCGAACATATGCAATTATTTTTGCACGTATATGGAAAGTTTTTCTTACTTTATCATTTAATATAAGATCTAAATAACGTTGACGAAATCTTGTTTCCTAAATGATAAATTATTATTATGTAGTTTAAAGTGATATATATTTCAGAATAGAATTTTTTAATTTTTTTATACCTTATCTTTTAATCCAAAATAAAGATTTGGCAACATATGTAAACAAGGACTCAAAAGAATAATACTATGTGGCATAATAGAAAATTCACCCTTTTTAGTTTTTCCAGGATTTCCAATTACACCAATAATATCACCTCTTCTTATCTTAGAAATATCAGGAGTAAATTTTTCCTCATTTTTATAATGCCTTGCATTTGCCATTACTTGAATTTTAACACCTTCTCCTCTAAGGTCAAAAAAAATAAGTTTAGCACCTGATTCTCTTATTGCATGTACACGTCCAGCTATACTATGTACTTCATTGTTTAATATTTCTCCAGGTTTCAAATTGTTATTAAATTTTTCAATAAAATTTTCCAATGAAATTGATACATGAAATTTATGTGGATATGGAATATCATTTGTATTTTTAAGATGATTGATTGCTTGTGTTCTAAGTTTAATATATTCCTAAAAAATGTTATATAATATTTAATGTAAATGTAGTAATAAATTTATATTATATACATTAAAATATTTAATTAATTAAAAAATATTTTAAAAACATATATATATTACGTATAATACAATATATACATATATTATATATAAATATATTATAATATATTTACATTTGGACTAATTTCTTCTTCCTTAATTTCCTTTTTGTCTTGAGTTTTGGCTTTATCTTTTATTGGTTTTTCAGCAAATGCTTTTGCTTCTTTTTCTGCTTTTTCCTTCAATTTTTGTTCTGCTTTTAAACGTCTTTTTAATTCACTGTAACCGAATTTAAAACATTCGAAATATAGATTTTATTTTTTATAGGAAAATATATATTATAAATAATAAATATATATTATAAATTTAAAAATGTACGCACTCTGTGTGAAAATAACATACTGATATTTGACGTAATTTTATTGGTTTTGTTTTATAAAATACCGGCAGTATTACGTCAACAAAAGTTTTGGTTATGTTATAATACAGCATGATTAAAAGAAATTATAGTTACTATTTTAATATTGAATATTATAATACATACAATAAAGCTATGTATTTATAAATATGTAAAATAATAATTAACGCTTAAAAAAAGGATCAATATATAATTATTCGTATAACAACGTGGTTAACTAGAATATGTTATTGATTGTTCCTTTATATTGGTTATGTTAAAATTATAGATAAAATATAGATACTTTTTATAAATATATGCTTATAAGTATTTTTTGAAAAATTAATTTTCTGTTACTAATTTTTTGTATTATTACTTTACTCACTTTTTTGATAATTTTTCATCCGTAGTGTCAGCCATGTTGATAAACGTAGAAAAGATTTTTATTTTGTGGTTGGTAAACCTGCAAGGTATCTATTTGTCAAATTGAATGCTTAATTCTTCGTTTTTTCGCGCGTTATTTTAATTTTAAGTCATTTTTTTGTTTATTATTCATATTAAAGATTTAATTCTATTATTTGAACTTACATATATTCTATTATATATAAATATTCAATTATTTTTTGTATTATTACTATTATATTATCATTTTTATAGATACAATATTTGAAATGTGTTACTTTGACAACCACTTCTGTTGATTCATGCATTTAGTATGTTCAGTTGCTTGTGTTTAATGTCAATGTGAAGAATAATTTATAATATAAAAGTTAAAAAATGGATGGTTGTTTCAGTTATCAAGAATTAAAAGCATTGCAAGAATTAATTAATCCTTCAAAAGATAGTTCAGATTCTGAAGATGATTTACCACAGGCTGGTGCTCGAAAACTTGGTAAGTTAAAAGATTAGTATTAGATAGTTTTTTCGATATATATATATTTGTTGTAAAAGACATAATGCTTTTATTTTTATAATAATAATATTGGATAATAATGTGCAATTTGAGCATAGATAAAAAATTTCATAATAAAATTAATATAATAATTATATTTCATTGTAAAAAAATCGTATTACAAAGATTGAAAATATTTAATATTTAAAGTTGATAACATTAATAAAATAATAATTTGTGTATTTTTCTTTGAAAATTTAATTTTAATTATTCAAAATTATAAATTCATAAAATGATATAAAATTATTTGATATAAATAAAAAATTTATAAAAAGTCTAATCAATATTATATGTAATCGATAAAATTCATTGTATTCATAACTTCTATAAAGAAAATTATTATATTAAATTCAATATATAAAGATTTGATAAAATATTATATATTATATATTACTGAAAAAAAAAAAAAAAATAAATGGAAGAAAAAGTATATTTTAAGTAAGTTTTATACTATCGTGTACAAAAATTTTCACGAATGTTTTTAAGGGCCTGGCGACATCAAAGTGCAGAATGGAATGTCTCAAGAACATTCGGGTCCACATGCACCGTTGGAAATGAATTCTGATAATATTTGGCATTCATCAGAAGCAATCGCCTCTCAAAATTTTGAAACCTATGATCCAAGAAAAGTACCGGAATACGAAATGAAATTTAAACAAGCAGTGACAGCGGAAGATGTCTTTTTGGGAGTTAGTATTGTATTGATATTTATGACATTGAATAATTTTTGAACTTTGCTCATATTCATTGTATAAATTTTTTAATTGGAAAGTACAATTCATTTTAATTTTTACTATGATATATTTATTATAAAAAATAGTTTGTATCAAAAATATATATTATATTCACATTTGCAAGAACTAAAGTTAGTTTAATTAAAATTAATTCTTTTTTGTTAATTCTGATAATGAAATTTTTATTAATTTGTGCTTTATGTTGTTTTTTATAAGAAAATTTTTATTTATTTTATTGTTTTATTATCATGTTTATTATAATCTAAAATAAAATTCGTATTTTGTATGATGATATTTTTTTATAATTTATTTTTATTATAGTTTTTTTAATAGAATATTTATAATTTTTTTTTAATTTTTATTCGTATTTTACGACGATTGCTTATTTATCGAATTACATAAATAATTTCTAATATAATTTTATAATATTATATA